TACAATGAATAACATAAACTGATTAACAAAAATAGATCCAGAGACAGAGAATCATTGATCAGACCATCAAACCTCAGAGGGAAGGCAGGGTAGGGTGAGGTTAAGAGGCGAGAGATCAACCAAAGGACTTTTATGCATGCAAAGAAGCATAACCAATGGACACAGACACAAGAGGGGTGAGGGCACAAGCAGGGTGGGTGGAGGGTTAAGGGGGAATAAAGACACATATGTAATACCTTAATCAATAAAATAATAACAATGTGCCTTGGAATTATCTCAACTGTTTACACAGATTGGAACTTATTTGCCCAGGAATTTGCAAGTAATGTACTTTCTGCATCGAATGAAAGCTGATCTTTTAAGAGGCGACAATACCTAGAATGCATAACTGTGTTTGATTTCCTAGCTTAACTTTCCCCATTGCAGTGTTCCTTCACTGTTGTAGCCTGTAGGCAACAACAACAACTTAGCTTGACTACTGAATATATAGAACACAACCTCAGAATAATTGCAAGAATGGAATCAAAAGCAAGAATGTTTTTAGTTGTGTGTGTGTGTGTGTGTGTGTGTGTGTGTTTGGGGGGTGGAGGGGGATAATGCACATATGGCAAATCTTTTATTTAAAAAATAACATTGAATTTCACCATAAAGTTAAAGTGTTTGTCCTCTAGGCTATTAGGCAAAAATGACAGTATTCATGTTTCCCGTGCATAAGATACAGTTCCTGGAAAATGAGTCGCATCTAGGACTTCATAGGCAAAACCCTCTTTTTGTCTTGAGACCCTATAACTAGTTCTCACCAAAGAAATGAGAACTGAAGTAATATGGGTCAATTCCAGGACAGGATATTTTAGGAGCCAATGTACTTTTTGTAATGGTCCGCCTGGTATCTGAATGCCAATATCCACAGTGACTTTGGAAATCTACCTGTTTAGATGGCAGGTATTCCATCAGCCTGAGTCCCAGAATAACTCCCCCACCTCATAACTCTCCTGATGTACCCCAACAAAATCTGAAACAGGCACAGTGGTAAACTACATGTATGCACACATGTACACACAAAAGTATACACACTTTATTAGCTGATAGCTCAATTTTAAACATGAAGTTTATTTTAATAAATACTGCCCTTATAATTAATTATTCCAAATATATATATATTTGGGGGTGGGGACCACATGAACTACATATATGCTAAAGTTTTTCTAATACAGCCTACCAAGATTTACACTTTATTTGTATTAACCTATTGAAAAAACTCATTTGTGCCCTAGCCGGTTTGGCTCAGTAGATAGCGCACCAACCTGTGAACTGAAAGGTCCCAGGTTAGATTCTGGTCAAGAGCAAATGGGTGGGTTGTGGGCTCGTTCCCCAGTAGGGGGCATGCAAAAGGCAGCCAATCAATGATTCTCTCTCATCGATGTTTCTAGCTCTCTCTCCCTTCCTCTCTGAAATCAATAAAAACATATGTTAAAAAATAAAAAAATACTCATTTGTTAATTATTTTTATGTTAGGGGGAAATGATAAAATAAACTATTTTTAAATTATTTTATTATTAATATTCTGAGTACCTTTACAGAATGCAGTTTTTTAAAATAATCAGAACATTTTCTAGAAGTTGACAAACTTTACAATTGTACATTCTTCCCATATTTCTACAGTTAGAAAATATATTTGCATTATTATAAGTACCAATCAAATATATATGTCTTAGTTAGATTTCACAGGTGTGTATCTTGAGACAAATATTCTAGAGTGAGGAGTTTATTTAGGAAGTGATCCTAGAAAACAACAGTTAAGGGACAAGCGAGGAGAGACCAGGAAGAGGAAAAAGTTACTAAAATCTGTGTCGTCAAATAAGTTATCACAGTAGGCTCCGGAGGTTCAGCCCCACTGGAAAACTATGTGAGAGCATATAGAACATAGGTCACCATTATTGCAGCAGAGAGGCAAGGAATCTAGTGAATTTATCTAAAAATCCTCCATCATGCCTGAGCTATGGCATGGGCCAAGTGTGCCCCATGGCCTAATAAAAACAGCCACACAATGAGTTAGAGGTTCATGGGAAATATCCTTAAGCGGGTAGAAGTGCAGGCTAAGGGAATATGAATGGTGCACTCTGAACATCTGCTAGGTATATACTTCAATTTTATCTGGTGGGAAAGAGAAATAGAAATATTAGAATTAAATTTGACCCTATTTATTAATATAATACTTCATCAATTATTACATGTGACATTTAAAAGAAAAAAATGCTCTTTCTTCTCCCACCCTTAATTCCCTTACTTAGAGTAACCAATATAATTATTTTGGTGTAATTTTTTGATGTCACTTTTGCTGATTTTTAAACTGGTTGTTTAGAAAGAATTTTGTTAGATTTTCACTCCAGCTAAGATGGAGTAAAAGAAATTGAAACAAGTCTAGACAAAATGCACTCAAAACACTTTCAAGACATTGGACTTCAGGCCATAAAGGACAATGGTCCCTGAGAGGTTAGACACAGCAAGGTGAGTTCCACCATTGCTCCTGCATGCAGCCTTGAGTCTGCAGGCCATGGCACAGAGAAACAGCCAAGAAGCAGACTCCCTGCATTGAGATGGAGCTGAGAGTCAGACACCAAGGAAAACTATAGGTCCCAGGACGGAGGACAGGAGAGGAGATGGTTGCAAAGGAGATAACTCTGAAGATATTCAGAGAGCCCTTTTGTGTATTATGCTGAGGATGGGAAGGAAGGAAGAAAGGAAGGAAGGGGAGGGAGGGAGGGGTGGAGGGAGGGAGGAACTTCCCAAAATGCGTAGGAAGGAAGGTGTCTATTATTCTCAAAGGGAACAGAATAGAGTTTGATTTGTCCAGACTGGAAAAGCTTATAATTCCTGGTACATTGGGTAGAAAGCACAGTGGTCTTGCCTCAGCAGAGGGAAACACTTAGACTTAGGAGAGCATTACTTTCATCTTTAATAATCTCAAAAGCCATAAATAGATAGAAGTGTTTACAAGTAAAACAGTTTGACCATTATTAAACAGTAACACACACACCTATCATTACATCAACTGCACTTATATAGTGATGGAAGAGAAAACATGCATATGTCCACATGAAGCCATATACTGGAATGTTTATAAAAGCTTTATCTGTAACACCCCAAAACTATAAATTACCCAAGTGCCCACCACCAGGATGAATATGTAAACACATTTGTGTATACCTGAACTGATATCATATTGTATGTCAACTGTAATTGAAAATTAAAGAATGATTTAAATTTAAAAAAGAATTGTGATTAGCATAAAAATAATTGTTGCATATCTATAATAATAAAAGTGTAATATGCTAATTAGACTGGACATCCTTCCAGATGACCTTCTGGATGAAGCCATGACGGCAGGGGCCAAGCCCCTTGCACGAATTTCGTGCATCGAAACTCTGGTCTATACAATAAAATGATACCCAGAACTTTACAAAGAGTATACTATTGGTGCAGATTACAGCATGGATGAATCTCAAAATAATTATGCCAGTGAAAGATGTTAAATAAGAAAGAGTAATTACTGATTAGTGCCATTTATATGAAATTCCAGGAAATACAAATTAGTGTATAGTGATGGAAGGCAGGTCAGTGGTTGCCTGGAGATGGAGGGTAGTGGAGCAAAAGGATGGACAGACTAATTACAAGTATCATGACCAATATTCAGTGAGATTGGTATGCTCATAATTTATATCATGGTGATGTTTTTACCAATGACTATTTATTCCAAAACATCAAATCTTATACTTTTAATATTTGCAATTTTCCTCAGGTCAATTTTACCTAAATAAAGCTGTTTAAAAGAAAAAAAGAAAGTTTGACATTTGTGCTCAAAAGCAGTGTTCTCCTTGAATCTACTACTTCTGATAAGTTTGTGGCTTTGGTCAAGTGATTTGTTAATTATGCACCCCAGTTTCTCATACATAAAGAGAGCAAGAAATATTTATGTCATATTTAGGGATTATATAAGAGAAGCACGTGATTTAGAGTAATTTCCGGGTGTCTGAGGTTCCCCCATATTATTTCTTTTAAATTATCTTGTTGATGTCAAATATCTTCAGAAGAATTGCTGTTCTTTGTTAAATGTGATAGACACTTTAAATTTAGTTTTTATTTTAATGTACTTCCAAATGTACCATACACTGCTTTCTTTTAAAAGTGGGTCTAAGTCCCACATCTAGTATTTTTTTAATCTTTATACACCAGTGGAAAAATAATAAATTTTACCAAGATATGGCCACTCTATCAAACCAGATATTCATAATAGTTATATGTATGCTAATTGTGTGCCAATGTTTATAAATGCACATTGTGTATTATACATAGTAGAAACTCATTAATATATATTTGGCTGCATGCATGAATGACAGCACCATTTTTTTGTGTGCTTTATAATGTCAGTTGATCACTAAGTCTCAAAACATCTTTGGTAAACATCATTTTGCAGAATGTGGTTAATCTGAACATCTTTGAAACATTTATTGAATGTGCATGTTGTGAATGTGAAATTTCTGGAAACGGAATCTCTAGCCTCCTGGAGCAATGGCGGGACAGATGGCCAGTTGTTACATAAGGCAGTAGTTGAAGAATTTGCCTCTCAGCGACCCTCTTAAAGCTAAGAGTAAGCATCTGGTGGGTATGCATGAGGTACTAAGTGGACTACAAAGTGTGGGAGGGAAGCCACTTGGCTGCTCTGAGCTATCGAGGCTTTCTTGGAGACAGCACCATATGGATCTATATTGGGCTAAGGATAGCTCAAATGGAAACTGAAGAAACAAGCTAAAGTAAATTAGGAACAGAAGTTAAGTAGATTTGTGAAGAACTAAATTCAGAGGCCTAAACTTGAGTTCATAGTTGTTTTTTATTTCGCCATGTGTATTTCATGACATTTTTTCTGACAATGCAGTGCCATTTAAGGACTGACATTGTGTGATTCATATATTCCTACACACAGAGCTATTTTATGACTGTTTTGGATGTTAGGGTTCATTTGTATATTTAGTTCTCTACATATGTGTGTCATTCTGAGATCAACTACTTCATTTATAAACTTTTCTTGATAAAAGAAAAAAAATCACCATTTTTGTTAAAAGCATGTTCAGCAATTAAAATGACATGCTTCAAATTGGTAAGTCTTCAACAAACATATATACTATTTGTCTTGAATCCGATGCCTGATTAAGTTTACAGGAAAGAGCATTTGCCATTCTTTTAAATTTTTTCTCAGTAAACTTTTACTGAGCACTTGCTCTATACGGGATTCTGCGCTAAGCAATGAAGATACAATAAACTGAACAAGAGTGTTTTAGCTCTAGAATCTGGGAGTCACTTAGGATCGACAGCTATGTAGAGAGAGTTATGTGACATAGTGGTCAATTCTATAATGACACCATGTGCATGATGTTGGGGATACAAATACAGATACCAAGGGAGCCCGGGTGATTGTTGGAGGTCAGGCGAGGGCTTCCTGCAAAGGAAGGGCATTTTGGCTGATGGTAGTTGGCCAAGGCAGGCATCATGAAGAAGGAAGAAATGCATGTAAAACGTAGCATCATTTGCGAGACACAGAAACTTAACAAAGCTAAGCAATTTAGGGTATTTGGAGGGTCAGAAAGTTTTTGGAGAAATAGCTGAGACTGAATTTGGTGAGGTATGTGGATTGTACCAGATCATAACAACATTCATGCTCTTTTCTGCTAATCATGAATGTAGTAGAAGGACCGCCATTGCTTTTAATGAAAGGAAAGATAGGCAGGATGGTCATTTTGGTAGCATGGCAGAGAAAAGATCTCAAAAGATTAAGGTCTGAATATGAGGAGAAGCATTAGTGCAGCTGACCTTCTGGACGTGGGGTCCTCTCTAGAGAATCAAATGCTCCCCTTGCACTTTCTCTTGGGGGCAGGTAAATCTCAGTAACAGAAAGAGAAGTGGCTGAGAGGATGGCTGGGACCTCGTGACCCCTGGGTATAGTGTTTCCAGTCGCACATGTCAGGAAGTGGCCTGTGAGATATCCAACACACCTCTCTCCACAAATGCTAATACATAGCTTAGCGGGCAAAAGCTGACTTACCACAAGACCACCTGATTTCCAGACTCTGTCATTAGTCTATATGGACACATAAATCTCTTTTCAAACTGAGTCCGTATGTATATATTCTGAGGTGAATATGTTCATCGCAGAACACTGCTACCTGCTAGACAAGATTTATATTTAGATGAAATAATTGTAGGGTCACTTTTAGATTTAAGTGCCAGCTACCTATTATAGTGGGCCATTCCTCCCCACCCTGTCAATCAAGTTTCTGCATTAGCCTCAGACACAGTCAGAGCAACGTAGTTCTCATAGACGTCAGTGTGGATTCCCCCTTGTCCTGGACACTCAGCATGCAGACTTTCCTGCACACTTTGTTGGGATCCTCAGCCAACTGAAGCCAGACTTCCTGTTTAACCCTCATTCCTCAAGAGGTAATCTTCCCAGGGGAGGAGAGACACTTTCCTTGTCTGGATGTCTCACCTGCTGGGAACTAGTTTTCTTTAGGAACACTTCTTACTTAGAAACAAGTACCATGAACATGGGAGGATGATTGAAAGGAAATGAATGAATTTGGTCCTCGTTAGTCAGACTAATTCATCATCCCCAGAACTCATTCTAGAGCCTCCCTGTGCAATAGAAATAAATAACATGCAATTTTAAATGATCTAGTAGTTGCATTTCAAAAAGAAAAAGGCAAAATTAATTCTAGTGTATGTTTTATTTAACCCAATATATGTAAAAGAGTAACACTTTAATACATAATCAATACAACATTATTAATGAAACTAGAGGCCCAGTGCACAAAATTCATGTGGGGGTGGGGTCCCTCAGTCCAACCTGCACCCTCTCTAATCCAGGACCCCTCGGGGGATGCCTGACTGCCTCTCGCAATCTGGGAATGCTGACTCTTAACCACTTGCCTGCCTGCCTGCCTGATCACCCCTAACCACCTCTGCCTGCCTGATCTCCCCTATCCACCTCTGCCTGCCTGCCTGATTGCCCCTAACTGCTCCCTTACCAGCCTGATCGCCCCTAACTGCTCCCCTGCTGGCCTGATCGCCCCTAACCACCTCTGTCTCGCCCCACACCCAGGAGCCAGGATTCCCTTCTCTAGCCAGTCACAGGCACCCGGGACCCAAGCTGGCTTTGCCCAGGCCAGCCGCAGCTGCAAGGGACTGTGGGCAGGTGCTTCGCCTGGGCTGCTGCCATAGGCTCCCAGGACCATGAGGTAGATGGCTTGTCCCTCTCCTTGGCTGCAGCCGCAGGTGCTGGCGCCCAAGACCATGAGGCAGGTGGCTTGTCCCTCTCCCAGGCTGCAGCCTGGCTGGTCCCCATTCCTCTCTCAAGAGCTCATTTGTGCCTGGCTGGTGCCCAATCCTCTCTCAAGAGCTCATTTGTGCTTGGCTGGTCCCCATTCCTCTCTCCCCAGTGTTGAGTGTCTGAGCAGTTATGGCATGATGGCATGATGGCGTGACAACGTGAGGGCATGATGATCATTTGCATATTAACTCTTTATTATATAGGATATTTTACCTTCAATTTTTTGTACTGTCTTTAAAATCTAGTGTGCACCCCTTCTCAATTTGGAATCACATCTAAGTGTCTATAAGCCATACTCTAGAGGAAAAATAAACTAGGAGGACATTTTCTTTATAGTTTACCCAGCTTTGCCTCCCATTCTCTTCACCCCATCCCAGTGCCCTCCAGCCTGAGGTTAGGACCCTGCTCCCACCAGGTCCCTCTGCCCTCAGGAGGCATGGGCCATACATTCACACAGAGGCATTTGTGCCAGTGATGTCTAGTGTGATCCCTCTCTTGCATAGCTGCATTTTTAGGGTGTTATCTTAGGAATTATATTGACTATCAGTAAGAGAGTCATATATTTTGAAAATTTTCTAAATCCTACTACTTTTTTAAAAAATATATATTTTATTGATTTTTTACAGAGAGGAAGGGAGAGGGATAGAGAGTTAGAAACATCGATGAGAGAGAAACGTTGATCAGCTGCCTCCTGCACACCCCCCACTGGGGATGTGCACGCAACCAAGGTACATGCCCTTGACTGGAATCAAACCTGGGACCCTTCAGTCCACAGGCTGACACTCTATCCACTGAGCCAAACTGGTCAGGGCCCTACTACTTTTTAATACATTATCTATAAGTTCAGGTGAACCTTGTTTAAGAGACAAATGTGAGAAAATCTGAGCAAACTGCGAGCTTCCTTGGAGTTTGCAGAGTGCTTACAGCTTCACAATGTGGAAACAGTATATTGAAGATATACTTGAATATTTCCAATGTTCATATTTTCTCAACTCACCTTTCTTTCACCTCTGAGGTGAGCTTTGCTTGCTGGCACTGGTCCTTTAATCTTTGTCATTGCCATTCAGAACAGGCTGCAGTGTGGGGCTTGCCAGTGGAAATTAAACTTGAACATCTACTTGCTTGCTGCCTGCTTGCTTGAGGCACTTTAACATTTTCTCTCAGCTCACCATGGAGCAAATGGGAGCAGCATTGTCAGCTGAGGAGAATTTATTAGCCAGAGTTCAAAGCTTCAGTAAACAATACACGGCAGCTCTCCCTCAATCATGACATCCAATGGGCAGATTTCTGAACCAATGCACTCTGGCTCCTGGGGAGAAACAGAAGCTTCAGATCCCACTTCCCGTGCTTTGCCCTGTCAGTGAATTTACCTCCTCAGCCTAGTGGAAACGGAGTGCACATGCCATCTTAGCAGGAACCCCACAGCTTCAGCCTGTGAGCATTTTGGATGGTAGAGATTTGGGCTTGGCATACTTCAGCTCTATTAATGAATTAAGAGCAGATTATCGCTTCCATTCAGTATTTGGAGGATCTTTGTAACTCAGCATGCCAACATGCCTGTTTGACTGTAGGAATTTCAAAGTTAATTTCAAAGGAGTAAAGCACCCAAAAAGGAAAGTATGCCACACCAGCACAGCCAAGGGTTCAGTAAGACTGAGGCAAGGCAGTGAAGGATTAAAGAAAAGACAGACAAGAGAATACAGCTGGGGCTCGGCGGATCTCCCGTGCCTGGATGAGGACACAGAAAGATCCAGCCTGCAAGCCGAGGCTTTATTTTATAGTGGGATCAAAACAAGGGTAGTGGTCAACCTGTTTACAATGTTCTTATGAGTTTCACCTTGTTTTGGCAGCACTTGCTGCACCTCCCACAGCCCTTTAGCTACCTAGGAAGGAACTAGGGAGGGCTATAAGGTTAACCTTAATTATGGTAAGAGGGCTTTGCCCTTCAAGCTGGGATTTGTTTGTGGCCCTGCCACCGGTCAGTCCGAGGCTTAACCCTATAGCTGCTCCCTACAGGAGAGAATATACTCCTTTATTTAAAATAAATATACTCCTTTATTTAAATAAATTTTTAGAGAGAAAGGAAGGGAGAGACAACGATGTGAGAGTGAAACATCAATCAGCTACCTCCTGCAGGCTCTCGAATAAAACCAGCAACATTTCAGTGCATGGGATAACACCCAACCAACTGAGCCATACTGGATAAAAGTCTTCATGCTGCAATGGGGAGTGTATTTGTACTTTCTTTACCCTAAGAAACATGTAATTATCATGCCTCATCCTTATGTGATAAAAACATTTTGGAGTAGGAGGAACCAGAGGTCTTGGATGTGGAGTAGTTCAAATCAGAGTTGCATTGTCCCACCCTCCATCTCCACTCAGATTGTAATTCCTTGTAAACATAGATGCATTGCCATCATAGGAGATCGAGCTCCAAGGCAGTTTGCCACAGGAACTTGGAAAGGCAGATCAAAGAATGGGAATGGGTGAGGTAAATGTTTAAAAAACTATTATACATACTGAGAGGATTCACTAAGTGATCTTCCTGAATGAATGCATATGGAATCCTACGATGATGATTATTAGGGTTTTCTTTTTTATCCACTCCCTAGCTTTTGCCTTGAGTAAGTCATTCACTCATAAGAACTTGAAAATTTCCTCACCTTTGAAGTGGTCTTAACAATAGCTTCCATATACTGAATATATCCCATGGCCTTACCATCATGTTTGATACTTATATAGTTTATCTTTTATACTTTCATGAAACACTTAAAGTTGAGATCATTATTCCCATTTTACAAACAATAAATAAGTAAATAAAGGTTAAATGATTAATCCAAGTCCACCATGCTCTTAAGTGGCAAAGCCAGAATTCAAATATATGTATTATAGTTTTTTTCTAAATTACATCAGCTTATTGCATACAATATTGCACATTACCCAAGCTTTATTTCAAGTGCTAAATAGGCGCATATGGCTATTAACCACTGCACTGGATGCATTATTATTTTTACTATTCTCCAAAAGACTTAATCTCCATATATCTCAATGATGCTTGTTACTCACACTCTATTTTCTTAAGTATCTAGCATCACCCACTCCAAATTTTTATAAAATCTTACAAAGTTTCAAGGACCTCGGCTCCAATAAAAACTTCACAGATTATCCAGATCCTCTAGAATGAATCAATATCTTCCTACTGTTTACTTGTGGCATTTTGTTCTGTGTTACCACATTTCAGCTGCCGTTTGGCATTATAACTCTTTTTGTATTCATCAGTGTCACCTACTAGATTGCTAGCTGTTAGAAGCCACAGAATGGGTCCCATTGATCTATATATACCTGTCCAGCCCTTAGTACAATTCCTTATATAATAGTGGGCAATAGGTCACTGTCAAAATAAAATTGCCAGATAAGGAGAAAACAGTAACACATATTTGAAAAATGATCAAATTTTAGTATATGTTATCTGTTTGATGTTCTAATGCCTAGTTTTAGATGATATGTTAAGACTGATATCTATTGTGATGCCAAACATTTTCTGATATATGTACCATCTAGGACACAATAAAATTTGAGGCTACAAATAAAAATGTATGAAAATGCTATTACTAGCATCGAACTTTGCACTGAAAAATCCATTATTTATGTTCTTCATAAATACATGTATATTTATTTCGGCAACCTACTCATAACTTTGTCATTGGACATGACAGTTTGTGATGGTTGCATTATGCTAGGTAATAGAAATCACATCTATGGAAGGTAATTTCTGATGGATCAAGAAATCCACATATTAAGAAGTGAATGCAGAAGGAACAAACCAATAAATAGCTTATGCTTCCACCTCACACAAAGGAATGCTATACTTTTTTTTCACCATTGACTATAAAAATTATAAATATTTACATGCAATCTTAATTAGGGAACCAAATAAAAAGTAAAATAGTTTTCAAATCAATAAGATACAGTGAATCAAACTACTGAATGGGATTTTGATGTCAACTGTATTTTAAATTATCCCTTTAGGTGAAACTTGCAGCCTTCTGCCCCACAGAACTGCATTGAAGATGCACTTTTGCTTTTTTTTATTTATTAAATCAAGATTCTCCTTTAACACCAGAGGTAGTTTTTTTTAACTTAAGAAGTATAAATGTAAGCTTTTTAGAATTTATCTTTACTTGTGCAGTTGGTATCAATACAATGAAAAAACAAATCTGGCCGAAACCGGTTTGGCTCAGTGGATAAAGCGTAGGCCTGCAGACTGAAAGGTCCCAGGTTCGATTCCGGCCAAGGGCAAGTACCTGGGTTGCGGGCACATCTCTAGTAGGAGATGTGCAGGAGGCAGCTGATCGATGTTCCTCTCTCATCGATGTTTCTAACTATCTCTCTCCCTTTCTCTCTGTAAAAAATCAATAAAATATATTTTAAAAAAACAAATCTGAACACATTATTGTAATATACATTCCTGTAATTTGCCCAAGATTTATAATATCAGACATGAAAATACTGCATAGTGGATAAAATATAGACTAGTATTAATAAAACACAAAGTACCCTTACTTTCAGTACAGATGGCTATTGTTATAACTATTTCTAGTTCCTTGTGTTTGTGTGGTATATGTACAATTTCTCTGTAATATGAAAGGATAACATTTCAATGGTAATCAAAGTATTTTTTGGCCATTACAGTTCAAATTCAGGGGCAGCACTCAAAATTTTCCTTTTAAAAAATATTTCCAAATTAAGTTATAGTATTCTTTATAGTATACTTGATGGTGTATTTTAAATAAAGAGTTCATATATTTCTCTAAAAATACTTTTAAATAGATTATTTGTTTGATTTTAAGTTTGGGTGGTGTTGAAATTATTTTTGTTTATGTGTCTTAACTGTTCTTTGCTATCTGTAGAAAATCAATATTTTGTGCACATTTATACACTAGTTTCTTACTTTTTAAAATTTGTTGTTTTTTAAAGCATGTATACAGGCAGAGTGCTTAAAAATTCAGATTATTTTACATTATAGAAAGGAGAGTCTCTGTCCCCTCTCCTTCTAGCTTGTACCTGCAAACAGAAGTAATTACTTTGAAAAAAGTTCTAATCTTTTGTTAGGTGTTTTACTCTCTATCTTTTAGTGTCATTTGTGTACAACTAGTTCTTGCTTTTTTTTAGGTTTGGCTTGACCTATTAATTTCACGTTATGAAAAATTAGGATTTGGCTCTGTCACATATTTCCATCCACAATGAATAACAAACACACTTTCCCTTCTCCCTCATCTAAACTAGTTCTCTTTTTGGCTGAACAATATTCAATGTTTCCATTATTATGACTAGGTGAGGCTGGTGATATTCTAAGATTGCATGTCTCTTGTATCACACTGTTTTTCCTGGAGTAATAACAGCCTAATATTTTTATTTGTTTAACTTATATTCACTTTTCATTAGGTTATCTCCTAGCACTCCACCAAAAGTATCAACCTTCTTTGAATAATTCTAAACACATGAACATTTTTTTTCTCTTTCTTATGAAAAATCCTCCCCTAAGTGGATCTCATATCCTGATGATTAGTTTACTCCTTTTGGGGGGATGGAGTTCCTCTCTATAATAAAGGTAAAAATGTGAGAAAGTACATGTGTAACATAGTCTAACTTTAGATTCATGTTTAATTGAGTGTAAAATTAATGTAGGGAGGTCCTTTGCTTCAGTTCAATCTTTTCTTTTCACAGTATTACTTCCCTCCTCTCTAGTTTTCTAGATTTGCTTTTGACACTGTGACACTACTATGTTAATGCTTTCTCTGAAGCCTTTAGGTATGATCTTTGTTCCTAGTAAACTTAAATTTGGAGCCATGGGCCTTGTTATAGATGTATTTTCATTAATTGACTAGGAACTAGGTAACCTGAGTGGTCAGACAATTCATGTCCTCCAATTTGGAGAATTTCCCTCGACTTCCTGCTTTGATAATTTCTTCACCTCAATTTTCTCTATTTTTTTGTAGTGTTCCATTTTGAGATTTTCTTTCTGATGGGCTGATTCTTTAAAAATGTAGTAATTCTTTCTTTTATCATCTCTTTGGGTTTGTTTTTGTGTTTTTTTTAATTAAGTTTTCTGTATTGTTTCCTCAACCTTATCTTCTAGGCATTTTCTTTTTTAAATAAAAAAGTGCTACTATTTTATTTTTTCAAAATGCCCTCTTGCATCCTTATTAAAAACAATTCCACTTTGCTTACCTTAGACTATTTCCCCTCACTTTACTGTTCCTTCTGAGTATTTAAATAAATATATATGTACGTGTTTGCATGTGTGTGTGCTTATTGAGTAAAGTGTGAAGTTAGTTTCAGAAATTATACTTAGTAAATAGCAGTCACAGTAGAAGAATAAAAAGTTCTTGTAATAAGTTTACTTTGCTGAGCAGAAAATTGAAGATGAGATTTGGGTGAACCATCTCCTTACATCATTTCATTACATAATACTATAGTATGTATAGCATTATATCACACAATTATAATATATGGATAGTTGTTTTTTTTTCAATCTGGCCTCACAAATGTTATAGTTAGCAAAATTAACCTTAAAATCTAGCCTTATAAATGTTATAGTCAGCAAAATTAATCTCGAAATCTGAAAAATTAACCTTGTAACTTTTATTTATTTTATTTTGAGGAGTGCTAGTGATTTATATTTTATGTTACTGTAGTTTTATTTTACTTTACTTATTTTATTTTCCAAACAGGGAAAATAGATCTAAGGCATGCACTATTTTGGCTCACATAATTCCTACTCTGAATATGTTTATTTAAGATTAAAACATATTAATTTCTTTGAATGTTTTACCAATAATATCATGATAGCATTTGATATTTTGTTTATATTTGTTTATTTTAAAGATAGAGACTGCGTTAGTAGTTTACATAACTTGTGCATGTTTTAAAATTACATTTATTTTTCATTACGATTCTGAAAAAATCTTGACCTTACCATTCACTCCACCCACTGCTGAAGCAAGCAACCCTGCTTCATGCAGGCACAGCCTGACAAGACTTTCTTCAGATGTGCGCTTCATTCTTTTTCCCTCCTGCCTTGCAGGTCAGGGATGATGCAGAAGCAACCTGGCAACGAGGATTGGTTAAAACACATAGGGCTGCATTTGTGACAGACAATGTTTCCTCCAATTTTCCCTCATGAATAAAAGTCTTGTTTGTTTCATTAAGCAAGCAATATAGACTAGTAAAGTAGTTGCTGTGGATGGGGAAAAAATCACATTAAATGGCACAAAATTTAAAAAATGATATAAATTCTAAAAAAATTGTTGAATTATAGATGACATTAATAGGAATCCTATGTCTAAAACAAGAAAATTACAGATTTTACAGTATTTCCAATTAGTAAGTCTCTGGACTTTTTAATTTTATCTTGTACTTCATGTTTGAAGAATTTGAATGAATGTGTCTAGATATAGGTACCTAATACTATATAGTTTTATTGTCATTGGAGAAACAATTAAAGACAATTGGGACATCTAATTAAACAAAACAAGACCATTAAAAGTTTACTTATAGGCAATAGCACTTCAAATATCTTAATAGAATTTTAAACAAAATATATAAAGTGAAAGGGGATGAGTTAGTATAAAATAAAAAGTAAAGTCCTTAAGAAAGGGAGCACAAATAAATTTTTCCTAAGTCATTCAAAGTAAATTTACTTTGACCACTGTTTTACTTTTACCTATTTCACAACTAATAAAATATATGAATGTTGTTTAAATATTTAATTCTTAAATTATATATTGAGATCATCATGTTTAGTGTTTTATCCCCATTCTTAATTCTATTCTCATGTCTTAGTATTGTACTTGGAGTTTAGTGGAAACAAAATAAATTCATGCTGATCGAGGGAATTACCGAATCAATATTAATCTATAAAAACTCTGCATTAGATTAATTTTAAACTAAGCCTCAAAATTTACTATTACTTTGTACTGAGAAGATAAGGGTTTATAGTATGGTTACTGTGTACTGAATAAAGTAGAAAGGAAAATAAATTTTAAAAGAGGAAAATTTAAATGTAAGTGGTTCATTGGAATTCTTAGCTGGAAAATAGGAAATGAGGGAATAATTTTGTTTTTACTTTTTAAAAGTTATTTACTTTAGGTATTTTCCCCACACATTAGTAATTTTTATGGATTAGATAAATAGGTAGAAATTGAGATATGAAAGATGACTGAAAATGTTCTCAAAAGAACTGTTTTGACAAGTTCTAGATGAACTAATTGACAAGTTCAGCTGTGCATAATAAACTCATTGGAATCTCCATTTCGATTTCAAAATTTATCAGTTTTGGTAGTACCAGGAAGTCATTAAATGTTATTGATTTTATGAGACCCTAGCCCCCCAAAAAGCAATAGAAGGAACATAGAAGTATGTGTATATCCAAGAAATATTTCAAAAATAACACAGGGATTGTCAAAGATAAAACACATCTCTATGAGAACTCTGTAATCTCTCTTTATCATCAAGGCTCTCTCAGTAAAGGCTGGCATCTTAAGCTGGCTTGAGGAAACCTAACACAATCAAAACTCCGTGTGGAAAGGCTTCTGAAATCTTTCTCTGAGCACTGAGAACTTTTCCTTTGCGCAGCATCTGTCTCTGCCGTTTTGGGAGTAAACAATCGGATGAGAAATGGCACAATATTCTTCAAAATGATTTTGTAGAGAAGTCAAACTCTTAACTGAACTTTAAAAAATTGACTTTAAAAAAGTGACCAAGAAATGAAAGTACTTAATTTTTTATATTTATTACCCTCACTTAAAAATAGTGTTTACATTCAGTGAATATAAAAAATCTTGCTTTTTTTTAGTTTGAAAAAATTAAACATATTTTAAATAAGCATTCAAAAATTAGAATAAAGCCAACTTTTTTAACCTCAAAATAAATTAAATTTATAGTCCCCAATGCTACATTTATCAGACTAAAAAAAAAATCTGTGATTATCTTTAAAGTATAATGAATGCCAACACTGAGTGAAAGGAGTGTCGGCAAACACCTGTCCATCACAAAAGAATAGTTTTCCTTTACTAACCATACTTAATTTTGAATGAAGAAGAATTAGTAACATCATTAACTGCTTTTATGTTAGTCATTTTCCTGTCTGTCCATCAAAGGAAGGAAAACTCCTGTGTCTACAACTGAAAC